AGGCCACCTGAGGATTGAAAGGAAAATGAATTGTTAATAAGTTTTTGTACGTGCGTGTTCGTTTGTGTGTTTATGTCTTTGTCATCGTGTGCGTGCGTGTGTGTGTGTGTGTGTGTGTGTGTGTGTGTATTTGTTTGTTTGTGTGTGTGTGTGTGTGTGTGTGTGTTAGTATGTGTGTATGCGTGTCCGTGTGCTTGTTAATATATCCGTTCTACAATCTTACAGAACTATCTACCTAACTTTCTTCAATCATTTGCATTGTGGAGTTGGGCCGAGAGTAACTCAGAGACGACAGATAAGCACTTTGATATACAGGGCTATTAAAAAGGAATACCCCAAAATCATCACGCGATATTTCACAAACAAAATCCAAAAGAAAACTTCAGCTTGGACACATATGTTGTACAATGTACATAGATTCAGTTTATATTTTATGATTTACAAGTGCCCGATGCAGCCACCACCGGCAACACGGAAAACATCAAGCCATTATGAGAATTCCTCCAGAACGCGCCTCAGAATGTCTCAGGCCACTGTGTTGATTGTAGTAGTTATTCCATCTTTCACGTGATTTATATTTGTTGAAGTGGCGGAACTTAGAATTTGTCCACAAGAAGTAGCTATTCCTTTTACTACACGCAGATTCGAATAACTTAATTTTTTTTTAACAGAGGGAGCACTGCCCCATTGGCATCTCTGGGCTCGAGCTTGTCTGAATGAAAACGTGCCTCAGCGGTCAACTGGCAGGAGAGGTGCTAAAGACCTCGCTCTCTGAGGTTGGCTTGTCAATTCCCCGGAACTCACTGTGTGTGATTGTTTTTGAGGGGGTATGTTTAAGACAAAGCTTATTATGTTAAACCACTTTCAGAAAATATCAATGGCATGAAAGATCGAATAACTGCCACAGTCAAAACGGTGACCTGAGACATTCTGAGGCGCGTTAGGGAGGAATTCTCAAATCGGCTTGATGTTGTCCGAGCTGTCGGTGGTGGCTACAGCACCATAAGAACATGTTCAACATGAAATAAAAACTTGAAGGTACATATGTACCACATGTGTGTCCAAGCTTGAGTTTTCTATTGTTTTCGGTTTTTGAAGTATCGCGTGATGAGTTTGGCGTATTCTTTTTTAATCACCATGTATTTTATAAATTCAACCCAAATGTTTTTGTTTTGCTTTTTCATTTGCCTATGTTGTAGGCTGGAAGGTATTCAGCAAATACGTCTGAAATGCGACGCCTATGCTGGACGGAAAATTCATGAGAATACTTTTGCATTAGAACTGAAACTCAAGTTAACGTGATATCCGGCTTGTACGTAAAATATCTGCAGTTCGTACGCAGTCTGTATGCAGTGGCTTCGATAATTAAAGTGCTAACACCTGTGCGGTATTGATTTTGTGTTTGCTTTGTCTTTGTTCGCTTTTAATTATAAATGCATAACTGTAGCTATGGATAGTGAGGTGTTATGAAACTCATAATAGTGTCCTCGTTTCTGATGATCAGCTTACATCTGCCCACAAGCAGTGACGTTTGAAAACAGTTTTATGGTTTTGAATTGATCACGCAATAAACAAAGAGACAATGCAGATGTCTACATAAAAACACATTCTCTGATATTTCTTAGATTCAGAAGAAAAATAACTAGTTGGATGGATGGATGGATGAACTTGACAAAATCACAAAAAGTGAGGCTAAATTTCTTCTCCCTCATTGAATCACCCCACCTATCCACTCCCAATTCTACTCACTCACTTGATGGGCATGGGGATTGGAGAGGGTCGAGGAAAAAAATTAACTTTCAAAATTGTTAGATCTAGGTCCCTAAAGGTGAATACAATGACAAAGAAACAAACAAACATATTGGGCCTAAACTAAAAAAAGAAATACTTGGAGTAAAACTTACTGCCTCCGGCATAACAGCAAACTGTGAACAGTCCAAGGGCAAGAAACAAATTATACTGGAGGCTATCCTTCATCGTGGCTGTAAGAGAGATTTGATGAATATTGTATTGTACCGCCGTCTTTTGTCAAAGCTAGAAACACGTTTGTTAACGAAAGAGCATTTCGCTGTTTTCATAATCCGATATTTTTGTAAGGCAACCGGAAGATTCTTCGGGGGAAAAAGGAAACTGATTCTTGGGAAGCCGGAAGTCAATGTTTTTGCAACAGCGTTTAAATAAAAGTTGAAATCTATTGGGCTATGTTAAGAATAAATTTCACAACAAAGCTGGTAATTCTTAATGTTTACATTTTTTCTAACTTTGAATTGTTCTTTAACTTTTAAAAGGAATACACACGAGTGTACACTACAAAGTTGATAAGCGTCATTCTACTAATATAAACATTTCATGCATTTACATCTGGCTTTAAGGAAAAGCAGTTTTCAATTTGATTTCCTGAGAATTTAAATTTGAGCCAATATTATAGGGTATTAATATACCTGGTGTGAAATCACGCTACTGTACTATTAGACGCTGCTCTGCTCTCCGCAATGGTTGGAATTGACAATTGCAATAACGGTCCTGTCCTTAAATAGACAAATGTGGGTGGCGGATTGTGCTCATGTGACACTCACACCGTGAAAAAAATGCTCCCTGCATTTCTGACCCAGAAAGAAGAAAACATAAGTGAGGCATCATGGTGAAATCAGGCGCTCGTCAAAATAATTAAATCCGAGATATCGGCATTTTTCGGCCAGTGTGGAATTTTTTTTCGAATTTTAGTTTTTTACCTCAGTACCTTGTACATCCATTCAAAAACACTTTTATATGTGAATTTTTTTCGTTTTTAAACGTTGATTTAAATTTGCAGTTTCCAAGGACTGTTTCCAAAAAGCTGTGGAAGTCGCCAAACTTTGGCGGCCAGTTTCTCGCTAAGTTTACCTCAGAAACGAGGCGACCACACCTTCAAACAAATATCTCGACTTCTATTCAAGATAAAGGGATCCTTTTTTATCATCGAAAGCAAGACAAATAAGAAAACCTTTAGGATGATACAAATAACTCCGTATGCCCAAAAATTGACAAGCGCCTGATTCCACTGCGTCGGGACACTAATTATTTAATTAGGTTATTGCGAAGGGGTGGGAAGGTGGGGGTGGCACAGATGCTATGCAGCAAAGCAGTCTAAATACGTTTTATACAACCTCGTGTTACTGAATCATGGTTATTAATTCAGGTAGCCCATGACGTAGGTTATACTTTGGTGACACTCCTAGCCAAGTTCCAGGTGTTTCTAAAATAGCTTACGGTAGAAACAAAACTGACAAAGGACTCGGCGAATCTGCATACAGCACTTCGTTACCTGCCGCTCCGGGTCCATGAATATTATAATTTTATCATCAGTTTGGCTCCATGGGGTACCCATTACAACAAAAATGTTTCGAATAACCATGACGCAAGGTGTCATCTTTTGTCACTAGGCCAGTTAAATTTTCAATTGAACGTGAGCATATTTTTTGCATGTCTTCAAACTGCCAACTTTTTTTTCTTCAGGACCAACCAAAATATTTTTGCAAGATCAGCAACCACCTTTGTTAGAGCATGGGCTCTCGGTTTTATCTTTGAAATTTTACATTTACTTTGTGGGTGGTCTTTCATTTTCTAATTGACAAAGTGAAACTAAACGTTCCCCGTAGATTGATGAAATTTGGGAACGTGGAACCATGATATTGTTAACCATATATCTATAGTTTAGAATAGATCTCTATGACGTGTTTTTTTTGCTCCCCAGGATTTAAAAAAAATTAAAATGTACATGCATTTTCTTTTCAAAAAAGATTTCGTTCATAAATATCAATGAATATTGACCCCTTCACCACCCGGCCTAATTCAATCAACTTTTAACACGAAACTGAAACTAAGAAAAAACTCGGACTGAGCACACGGAACAGAGAAAGAGAAAGGAAGCAAAGGGGAGAATAAGAGAGATATGGAAAGAGACAGAGAGAGGGAGGGAGATAGAAGGAGAGAAAGAGAGACACAGACAGACAGACAGACAGACAGACAGACAGACAGACAGACAGACAGACAGACAGACAGACAGACAGACAGACAGATACAGAGAAAGAAAGAGACATGTATATAGACACAGACATACATACTACCATAGTAAGACATACAGAGACAGAGAAAGGCAGAGAGGATATGGGAGATGGAAGAGAGCGTACGTCAAACAGACAGACAGATAGACAGACAGACAGACAGACTGACAGACCGACAGACAAGCAGACAGGGACACATGGACACAGTGACACAGACATGGGGACAGAGAGGGAGAGAGGGAGTGTGAAAAAGACAGAGAGAAGGAGAGATTAAAACATGTTCGTTATCTTATATGGATACAATTATTGACAATCAAGCACACTTTTCACCGTTGGTATTCAAATAAGATACAATGCCCAGTAATACACATTTGTGTTGATGTGAGAAAGTTCCTGAAATAATATAATCAAAAGATAATAAAATTCCGCGAAGCACTATTCCGCATTTGGCTTGCATTCATGATCCTCTTGTCACTATAAAATAGAAACCATTAAGGGAGGTTGTGTACAACAAAATACTTTAACTAAATAGTTTGCTCTTAGTGCGATCTGTTCTGGAGTTTGGGTTGGATTTTGTTGGGGGGGGGTTTTTCGTTTTTCCTTTTTTCTGTTAGTTTGTTCGGGGGCTTGGGGTCGTGTTTTTTTTGTGTGTTTTTTTTGTTGTTGGGGTTT